ATAAATGTCTGCAAAGAATGCAGCAACAAAGATGCTTTCTGCAAGGAGGATTCATATTGATCAAACACGAGGACACTAACGGCAATAAATGTTTAAGAAAAAAGTAATTCTGGCTGGATAATCTGGGTATCAGCAGATGTTCTAATTCACATAGCAGAATATTTACACATTTTGTGTTAAACATGATGAAAAAGTGTTTTTTTTTTTTTTTTAAGTTTGAATAGAAGGAAATGCAGGCTTATGACTTTAATCAGAAACTGTTTAAACTTGCTTGTTTTCCCCAAATACATTTTGAGATAATATAAACAAATAAAGATTATTTATTCATTATTTACAATAAAATAGACCAATTGATATTTCTATAAGCAGGACGCTATAAAAATAAAATAAAAACCTCAGCTGTAGCCAAACATTGACAACATTTGAAGCCTGTGATCAGTGCAGAGCTCCAGGACTTCACCACTCAGGAAGCAGAAGGAACCCTCAACTTTTTAGCAGGAAAAAATCAATGCAGCTCAGCTTAAAAACAGAGTGAAACAGATTACCAGAAAAAAACAAGCTCTGAGGAGAGTTAATTCACATGATTCAGTTAGTTGTGCAGAGAAAGGAGGCCTAATGTCACCAGGAGCGTCTTATTCTCTGATCCAAACGCAGAAATGGAGAAATGTAAGTCTGCACGCTGTGGTTAGGAGCAACACAGGAAGAAGAGAGCTAAATTCTAGCATCCTTTCAGCAAGAACAGGGGCAAGAACCTTTAACCACCCCCCCATGATCCCTGATGCCTTAGAATACATGCAAGCAGTGTTCAGGATTCCTTCAGGTTAGAGATGCGTGATCCACTCTTCCTGGGATGGCCCGCTTCAGTTACAACCCGGGTCCCTATGGAAGTATGGCTGCCGTTTGCTTAAATTTGGAATAAAATCATTTATACTTCAAGCTAAAAGAGGAAACGAACAAAAGGCGGGTCGTTTCTTATGAGTCTGATTTACAAACATGTGTGATCAGAAAAACAATTCAAACCTGCTCTGCATCATCCCAGTAGCTAATCAAACCAGTTAAGACAAACTACCAGGATGTGCAAACATTATTTAATGACATAAAGATGGACTCAGATATTTAAGGAAAACTATTTCCCTTCGCAATTATCAACAACTTTAAGATCATTGCATTAAATCCAAATAAGATACGAAAGGTTTCCCTTATTCTGCAGCCAAATATGCATCAGTTTAAGGGTCTATAAGCCTTTAACAATGGACAACATGATGGGAATCCATTAGTTCCCTCAACTAATAACCAACTGCTTTCATTTAAAATAATAGGTATGCAGACACTTGATTTTACCTCAGTGAATAATACAGCTGCTGCTGCTGCTGCTGCTGCTGTGTCATTTTAAACAGCAGACCGTCTGTCAGCTCTGGCAGGTAGAGGTCATTTCTGCTATGTTCAAGTGCAATAGCATTTTCTGGACTTTCCTCAAAGGTGGAGTAAAACACCATCAGTAACCGTTCTGCTGAGTGACCCTGCTCACGTAAAGTGTTTTAATAATCACATACAGTCGCAGTGTTTGTTATATAGCTGAGGAGGAAAACCAGCATCTGGTTCCTGACCTGATCAGGGAGACGTTTTCTTTATTTTAATAAATCAGTCAGAAACTCCTAAATGTACGACTGGGATGCTTCAGATCAACGTGGGCAGGAGGGAAAAGGCAGCAGATCATGAATTTGCAGGGAAAAGTAACAGACGAGTGAGTAGCAGTTAGAAATGTAGCCGTGCAGCCAGTGCTGACTGGGCTTTCTGCCTCCCCTCCCCCCTCCATCCAAACCAAAAACAGCATCAAAGCAATCAAAATGGTAATGTTAGGCATGAATGGGGCCCATCCCCCTCCCCCTCTTTTCCTCCTCCTGCATTAAACTCTGCAGATTTTTTTTTTTTTTTTGTAAGGGGGGGGTGGACCACCCCTATTTCGCCACCAAAAATGGAAGCTTCCACTACAAAACTGAGATGAAAAAACAAAACAAAACAAAAAAGCAAAAACAAGGATAAAAAGATTCAGCCTTTTAGGCTGAAATGTTCCACATTAAACATGTTGACTTTTTAGAAATGGAAAAGCTTTAAAAACGTCCCAGAGCCTTTAACTGGGAGCGAAGTGTTCTGCATGTTGGTGCTGAGTGGAAGTTACAGCATGAGGAGGAGCTGGCCATGGTGCTGGAGCCTCAGCATCCGCCCAGCACTGCCTTCCTCCCCGCTGCAGCCTGAGCGCAGAGCCGCCCGCGAAGTTACCGGCTGGAGGGTGAAGGTGGTGGAGCAGAAAACATTTATTTCTATTAAAAAATTAAAAAAAAGTGAAAGCGTGAATAAGAACGAATCAAAGGGATCGCTGTGTGTCACGTGACCACGGAGAAATCATGCCAACAGACTGAAGCGTAAAGTAACCAAACCGAGGTGTTAAACAGCTTTAAAAGGGTTCAAAGCCAACTAATCCGGACTGGCTGCGTTTCTAACACCGAGCAGCACAGTTGGTTCCTCTTCCAGCTACTCTCTCCTACTCTACTGAATCATGTCGACCAGAGGACTGCTGAAGTTGGTGTCTGATTCACTGCTTCCTATTCAAGCTGCTTCATTAAAGGACCGTTCTGCTGTTTTAAAACTCCAGTACATAAATTAAATCTACTTAAACTGCTAAAAACTGGACTGGATTATATTTTACAATGATTACACGTTTAGATAAATATGATTAATGAAAAAACACTAGTTTAAATATAGATACTTATACCTAAAATGGGGTAGTCTTATAACTTTTAGGTCAGGTTTAGTGTATTAATTCCTAAAAGAACCCAACTTATTATGCACAAACTTTATTACATTGGAATTTTGATTTTCAAAGCCATTCTAAGACTATTATTTAAAGCTAGAGTGTTAAAAACTCAAGATATTAACCTTCAAACATCACCGGTCATATAGTTCAAGTCCACTTTTTATCACCAGAACCAAACATGGAAAAGCAGCATTCAGCTTTAATGCTACCATGAAACCATGACTGAACCATTAAAAAATCTAGCCATCTAAACTTTCTTTACCAGTGCAGCGTTTTCTTTCCTTTTGTTTTATTCATGAGGAGGCACTTTGAACGTCTCATCACTACACTTTGATAAACATGTAAACTATCCTTACCCTATAAAATACTTTACAATTCATGCAATCTTAAATTGTATTTGTAATTGTTCCAAAATATTAAATGTAAATTCTGTCAGTGTATTTCCCACTTTAGATGGGATTCTTTCAATTGTACATTAGTTTTGAAGGTTTGGACAAATATTATAGTTTCTTAAAGTAAAGTCTTTATTTGTTAAAACCCAAATGAGGTTTAATTTCCTGTCAGGATCAATAAAGGTGGAGGCATTGTGAGTATTGTTGTGATATACGTTTGGTTTTCCTTCTTCTCTTTGTCATGTGTACTCCTACCACCCTGTGACCTTTAGCATTGAGGCAATGTCATTACTGTCTAGCAAGCAAAGTACTCAGATTAGTAGGAAAAAATAATGTTTAAAACACTTGAAGTATATTAGCCAACATTGATTGTACTATAAACAGTCCTTTATGATATGTGCATTGTACATAATGCAAGGTGTGTGAGACTCCACCCAACAGGCTAAGTAGATTATTGGTGGAGTGTTAGGGACATATTTATGATTTAAATAAAAAGTGTTCAAGTGTCATATTTCAGATTAGAATTTAATACATTTTGAATACTCTGAATGTGATTTTTTGGCCTTGTCTAACTTCCTAACTTCTACAAATGAAGTTAACTCTACATTAAGCAAAAAATAAATAAAAAGTTTTGAAGAATGTCTGTTTTTAAATGACATTATTAAATTATTGAATATAGTTTGACCAGTCAGCCAAAGCATAAGTTCATCCAAGATACTAATTTGATGAAAAAGTTTTGTGCATGATAAAGTTTTTTTTCTCTTTTTTTAATGTCTCTCTAGTTCAGAACATTTCAGCATTAGATAAGTTGATTTTATCTACAGTCCTTAAAGGGGTTTCTAACTTTTACATTACAAATCAGAAGGTTTAATACTTTAAGGAATGTTTATTTAGAGTAATACTGATTCTATAAAGTTTGATCCAAGTACTTGATTTTTTTTTTTTTTTTGTAGGAATAAAGACTAGTGTTTTTTTTTTTAAATAATTATATTTCAGTCTTTTTTTATATATACTTTAGCTGAAACTAGTCCAGATTCCTCAGAGAACTACAGAAGGAGCATTTAATGAAGTACTCTCATCCGCACACTAACTTCAGCACCGTTCGACCCACTCAAAATGGACGCTAAAATCTTTCAACATTGCACAAGTTTGAGAAGAAAAGATGGCCACTTTTCCATCCAATACGTAGCTATGGACACTTCAGAGCTGCAGCTCTCCATCGGTGCTGCTGTGTGGAGGGAGCTTCCCAACACTAAAGTCGATGTGAGGCTAATAAAACAAAGGAAGGCCGGTTTATTTCTGGGAGAGTTGATGATGTTTAACCGGAGCAGATTTATGCTGATAAAGTTTCTCCATCACTCCCCGAGCAGCCAGCCTGCCATGCCGACCACAAGCCCACAAACAAGCCGCTAACCTGTGGGTCCAGCTTCACCCCAGCTCCAAAACTACTTGGAAGCTGGAAAAAAAAATGGCGAAGGAAGATAAAAGTGTGTTAAGTTTAAAAGAGAGAAGAACAAAGCGGCTCAGTTTGTAGCAGCTCATAAATATTCAGGTCGCGTCCTGATCGCCACAGTCAGCCAGCACCCCCGCATCAACACTCCAAATTCTCCCAGAAAACAGCCTCCATCAGCGGACAAAGTAGTGCAGAAAAGTAGCTTTAATTCTTCCAGCTGGAAGTGAGAAGCATTGCTGAGCGCAGCGACATGTCGCCTAGTTTCCTTCCCCTCCAAGTGTTGGATGTCTCCCTCCTGCTCCCAAACACCGACAAACAGAAACAACCATGTTTCACTTACCTGATGACACTGGAGCTCCACTTTCAACGCCTCCTGTAGGCCTTGTAGTTCCATGTTCCGAACAGAAAAACACTTTTCTTCCACTTTGGACGCGACTGAGACCAAGTTTAAGTCAATTAAAGGTTTTTTTTAAAGCGACAATAACAATTGAAAGAAGAACTACTCCAGGCTGCAGAGCAAGTTCTCGCTTCTTTTTTACACAGGCTGGGACTCATCACCCACTTTCCGCCCGTCTCCAAAAGTGCTCCAAACCCCACGGAACGGGCTCGAGTCCAGCACGGCGGCTTCCCGGGACTCGGACGAACTTGAACGGGTCCGAAGCGGCACCGGTTCGCAGGTCCTTTCGGTAATTTCGAGTTAAAAAACGGGGACTATATTTTGTCCGAGTCCGCGCCTTGATTTCACTTTGCCTAGGGAAAAGTTGCGCTTCGGCTGTCAATGGTAATTCTGAAGTTCCCGGATGGAGCAGACCCCCACTGACTGAGCATGCGCACTAGACACATGGAGCAAAGTAAAGGAATCACAGCCAGGAATTACTGCTAATGTACTAACTTATTTTTCATATATATATATATATATATTTATATATATATATTTATATATTATTAAAAAATGAATAAATCATGTTCACGTTTTTATATAACATGGTTTATACATATATTAATTCCAATTTGATATAATTCATCTTTTAGATTATATATATATATATATATATATATATATATATATATATATATATATATATATTTCTATTAAAAAAAAAATAAGTCATGCTTGTCTTAAAGGGTAAATTCATACTTTTTTTTTCACTTTTCTATTTATAATTCAGCTACACTTTTTCCACTTCAACACTGTGTCAAAATCACCAATTATTATCCATAAATACAATGTTTTTTAACACATTCCATGGTTTATACAAATTTAAATTCCAATTTGATATAATTTATCTTTTGGATATATATATATATATATATTAAAAAAAAAAAAAATAAATCATGCTTGTCTTAAAGAGTAAATTCATAGTTTTTTTTTTCACTTTTCTATTTGTAATTCAGCTGCAAAGACAACACTTTTTCCACTTCAACACTGTGTCAAAATCACCACTTATTAACCATAAATACAATGTTGTTGTTTGTTTTTTTTCACAAATCCATGGTTTATACATATATAAATTCAAATTTGATATAAGTTAACTTTTGGATAAATAAAGTACCTTTTGATTAAAGTTTTTTCATCTAGGAGATCATTTCAGTCCCTGGGGGCTGGAGTCCTGCATGTAAACACACCTGATTCAGATAATTAATTAGCACCTCCTGCAGAACCGGAGGAGAGTAATTAACTCTTTAACATCAGGTGTGGAGCAGTGATTGATCTAAAGCACACACAACACTATTGGCTCAAAATTAAAAGCAAAAATACCCTTTAAAGAGCTATAAATCAGCTGGTTTTACATTTTGATATCAAAAGTTATGGTTTCTTTTTACATTTCAATGCAATATATTAATAAAAAAAAAACGTTTTTAAATCTAGATCAAAAGATTAAAATTGGAAATCTGCGATGTTTTTATACAAATTTGATTTTTTTATTTAATTATTTTTATTTTTCTTTATATGTTTGTTTTTAAAAAAGCTTTACTATTCACGAGTATTTTACAATTTAATCTATTTATACCTTTTTACATTTTTTTTTTCAATTTACAAACATTACCTGCTATTTATTTCTATGGCTTTTATTTAATATATCAAGAAAAATATGTCAGTGATGTGAAATATTTTTAATAAATAAAAACATTTTTTGAAAAATAAAAAGAAACTATAATGTATCCTAATGTGATTAACAAATCTTCGGAGGTGTCGTTTGCACAGATTCATAGAGACTGTAATATATTTGCCAGTTTTACTTTGCAAACTAGCTTAAAACCAGGCTGACTGAGTGGAGCTCAGCTGATAATATTTTATAGGGCTTAAGAGAGATGACTTTAAGGCGGGGCTTTGACTAGATCATTTGAAGTTTCTGGTTTCTGCCCAGAGACTGCCATGTTTATCAGGATTGTCCTGTATTTAGCTCAATCATCCCATCGACTCTGATCAGTTTATCTGTGCCCACTGAATAAAAGCATCCTCACAACATGTTACATCATATTTTAGTAAGGATGAGGCTCAGAAAAAAGTTAAAAAACAATCCACTGGACTTTGTTTCCAAGCCTGAACTTTGTTCATATGTATGGCCTACAAACAAGAAGGGGTTGGTTAAAAGCAAGCACTGCAGATCCTTCTGAGCATGGTTTTTGTTTAGAAACAAGCAAATTGAAACGGACAAACGGGTCCACACCTCTGGAATGGGGGTCGTTTGGCTTCTTCGTTTGAGCCCCATTCCAAAGGGGTGGACCCGTTCGTCCGTTTCAATTTATTTGTTTCTACACAAAAACAAGCCTTTGTTGAGCTACTGTTTAAAGCCTGGAACCCAACGCTATTTCTGACATTTTGAATTGAAAAAGCTTCCTGGATGGGAAGTGAAACATCTTCAAACTTGGAAACAAAGTCCAGTTGTTTTCTTTTTTTGGAATGACTATTTTATTTTATTTACTCTTTGTTTATTTAACCTTTATTTAACCAGGAAGTCCCATTGAGATTCAGAATCTCTTTTTCAAGACAGACCTGGCAAAGGTAGCAGCCAAACCAAAGGAAGTTCATACATATTTACAACATATTACATTTTTCATGATAAAAAATAAAAAATTAAAAAAT